CGAACGCCACCAGGCCCAGCTCATTTTTTGTATTTTTAGTAGAGACGGGGTTTCACCATGTTGACCAGGATGGTCTCGATCTTTTGACCTTGACCTCGTGATCTACCCGCCTCAGCCTCCCAAAGTGCTGGGATTACAGGTATGAGCCACCGTACCCGGCCAAAAGTTTTTAATTTGATGTTGCTTATGTCATATCTAAGAATCCATTGCCAAATCTAAGGTTATGAAGATTTACCCCTATGTTTCTTCTATGAGGTTATGGTTTTAGTTTATATTTAGATTGTTTACTCATTTTGAGTTAATTTTGATATGTGACTGTGCAGTAGGGATGCAACTTCATTTTTTTTTTTTTCAAAGACAGTGTCTTATCCAAGCGTTGGTGGTATAGTGGTGAGCACAGCTGCCATCCAAAGACAGGGTCTTTCCTTGTCATCCAGGCTGGAGGGCAGTGGCATGATCATAACTCACTGTAGCCTTGAACTGGTCTCAGGTGATCCACCTCAGCCTCCCAAGCAGCTAGTAATACAGATGTGTGCCACCATGCCTGGCTATTTTATTTTATTTTATATTCTACCATTTCATTTTATTTTAATTTTATTTTGAGACAAGGGTCTCATTATGTTGCCCAGACTGGTCTCAAACTTCTGTGTTCAAGCAGTCCTCCTACCTTAGCCTCCCAAAGCACTGGATTTATAGGTGTGAACCACCACACCCAGACCAACTGGCTAATTTTTGGTATTTTTTAGTAGAAACAGGTTTTCGCCATGTTGGGCAGGCTGGTTTCGACCTCCTGACCTCAGGTGATCTGCTTGCCTCAGCCTCCCAAAGTGCTGGGATTATAGGCATCAGCCACCATACTCAGCCTCTTTCTTTCTGAGACAGGGTCTCACTCTGTCACCCAGTCTAGAGTGCAGCAGTGCAATCTTGGCTAACTGCAACCTCTGCCTCCCAAGCTTAAATGATCCTCCCACTTCAGCCTCCTCAGTAGCTGGGACTACAGACGTGTGTTACCATACCTGGGTAATTTTTTGTATTTTTGGTAGAGACAGGGTTTTGCCATGTTGCCCAGGCTGGTCTCAAACTCCTAAGCTTAGGCCATCCACCTTCCTTGGCCTCCCAAAGTGCTGGGATTACAGCTGTGAGGCACTGCACCTGGTTTCTAGCACTTCTTTAATTTCTAATTTTTATTTTGTTAAATAAGCCACACATTCATATATATATATATATATATATATATATATATATATATATATGCAACACATTCTTTTCCCTTCAAATTCCTTTTGACTTTGATTTTTAATTTTATTTTTTTTCTATATATTTTTTAAAGATGGGGTTTCACCATGTTGGTCAGGCTGGTCTTGAACTCCCGACCTCAGGTGATCCGCCCGCCTTGGCCTCCAAAGTGCTTGGATTACAGGTGTGAGCCACCACGCCCAGCCGAATTTTAATTTAATTATTATTTTTTTAGAGACAAGGTCTCATTCTGTTATCCAGGTTGGAGTGCAGCGGCATGATCATAGCTCATTACAGCTCAAACTCCTGGCCTCAAGCAGTCCTCCTGCCTCAGCCTCCAGAAGTGCTGGGGTTATAGGCATGAGTCACTTCACCTTAAATTCCTTTTTACCAAGTGACATATTCATATGGCTCAGAAATAAAAAGTATATTTAAAAGTTTTGTTTGGCCAGGCGCGGTGGCTCAAGCCTGTAATCCCAGCACTTTGGGAGGCCGAGGCAGGTGGATCACAAGGTCAACAGATTGAGACCATCCTGGTCAACATGGTGAAACCCCGTCTCTACTAAAAATACAAAAAATTAGCTGGGCATGGTGGCGCGTGCCTGTAATCCCAGCTACTCAGGAGGCTGAGGCAGGAGAATTGGCTGAACCCAGGAGGCGGAGGTTGCAGTGAGCCGAGATTGCGCCATTGCACTCCAGCCTGGGTAACAAGAGTGAAACTCCGTCTCAAAAAAAAAAAAAAGTTTTGTTTGTAAAGTCTCCTGTCCCAGGAGCATCCACCTCATTCTTTGTTGGCCTGCCAGACCCCTTCCCTGCTGGGGTTAACTCTTGTTGGATTTTGGGGCCATCATTTATCCTGGGGTGAGAGAAAGGGGTGGAGGGAATTCAGGGGTTTGGTAATGGCCATTTACTGACCAGGACAAGAATATTTCTATATTTTAACCAGTACAACCCTACTGGTGTATATGAGCTCAATCTTAGGTTACTTATAACCACTTATATTAGTTTCTCAAATATTCTTCCAGTGTTTTGTCATGCAAATACAAATACCAAAGAGAGTTTACTATGTATTCCCTTCCACATCTGCTTTTCAAATTGATGTCCAGGCACAGTGGCTCATGCTTATAATCCCAGCACTTTGGGAGGTCGAGGTGGGTGGATTACCTGAGGCTGGGAGTTTGAGACCAGCCTAGCCAACATGGTGAAACCCCATCTCTACTAAATATACAAAAATTAGCCAGGTGTGGTGGTGCACACCTGTAATCCCGGCTACTTGGGAGATTGAGGTATGAGAATTGCTTGAACCCAGGAGGCAGAAGTTGTAGTGAGCTAAGGTGGTGCCACTGCACTACAGCCTGGGTGACAGAGCAAGACTCTTGTCTCAAAAAAAAAAAAAAAAAAAAGTTGAACAGTATATACTGGAAATCTTTCTATTCATATAAAGCTTTTCAGTTCACAGAGAGCTTTCTGACTTTTGTCCAGTTGCATAACTGCATTGTGTGGTTTCAGTAGGGATAGCTCATCAGTGTTCCATTTGGTATTGGCTGGGGCAGCCCCACTGGGATTGCATGATCCAAAAAGGTTTCATTCCAATGACTGGTCCAGTTGGGTGGGCTGGACCTCCTGTCAGCTGCGTTCCAAGGGAATGAAAATGGAAGCTGCAAGGTCTCTTTGGCCTAGGCCCCAGAAGTCATATAGCTTCCCTTCCACTCCATTGAATTGGTCAGAGCAAACCACAGGGCCAGCCTAAATTCAAGTTGAGGGAAAATAGACTCCACCCCTCAATGGAAGGAGTTGTACGTGTTTACAGGGATTGGAGGAATTGTCAGCAGTGGTCTTTGCAGACAGTGTAAGATTCTTATCTTCTTTGGTGTGAGACCCTATCTAAAAAAAAAATTATGCTTTTTTTGTTTGTTTTTAAGATAGGGTCTCACTCTGTCACCCCGGCTGGGTGCAGTGGTGTGATTTTGGCTCACTGCAACCTCTGCCTCTTGGACTTAGGCGATCCTCCCACCTCAGCCTCTCCAGTAGCTGGCACACACCACCACGCCTGGCTAACTTTTGTATTTTTCGTAGAGATGGGGTTTAGCCATCTTGCTCAGGTTGGTCTTTAACTCCTGAGCTCAAGCAATCCACCTGCCTGGGCCTCCCAAAGTGTTGGGATTACAAGTGTGAGCCACTGTGCCCAGCCTTGGTCTCTTTTAAACTAGTGCATTTCCCTCACTTTATCTTCTCTCTCTTCTTGACTTTAGTTTTTGAAAGGTTGAGGCAAACTTTTCATATACTCTGGATTTGCCTTATTGTTTCCTCTAAGTTTGCCCTCTATCATCTAAGTGTCCTGTAAACTGCAAGATAGGATAAAAGACCTGCTTAGATCAGGTTAAATGCTATTAAATGCTATTAAGGCCAGGTGCAGTGGCTTGCACCTGTAATCCCAGAGAGGCCAAAGTGGGCCAAGGTGGGCGGATCACTCGAGCCCAGGAGTTTGAGATCAGCCTGGGCAACATAGCGAAATCCCGTCTTTACAAAACATACAAACATTAGCTGGGCATGGTGGCATGCACCTGTAGCTCCAGCTACTTGAGATGCTCAGGTGGGAGGATCGCTTGAGAGGCCAAGTCTGCGGTGAGTGGAGATCACACCACTGCTTTGCAGCCTGGGCAACTGAGTGAGACTCCATCTAAAAAAAACACCCAAATTGGCCAGGTGCGGTGGCTCAAGCCTGTAATCCCAGCACTTTGGGAGGCTGAGGAGGGTGGATCACGAGGCCAAGAGATCAAGACCATCCTGGTCAACATGGTGAAACCCTGTCTCTACTAAAAATACAAAAAATTAGCTGGGCATGGTGGCACATGCCTGTAATCCCAGCTACTCAGGAGGCTGAGGCAGGAGAATTGCCTGAACCCAGGAGGCGGAGGTTGCAGTGAGCCGAGATTGCGCCATTGCACTCCAGCCTGGGTAACAAGAGCGAAACTCCGTCTCAAAAAAAAAACCCAAACTGGGCAGGTGCGGTGGTTTATGCCTGTAATCCCAGCAGTTTGGGAGGCTCAGGTAGGAAGATCACTTGAGGTCAGGAGTTTGAGACCAGCCCGGCCAACATGTACTAAAAATACAAGTTAGTGGAGCATGGTGGTGCTCTCCTGAAGCAGGAGAATTGCTTGAACCTCAGAGGCCGAGGTTGCAGTGAATCGAGATCATGCCACTACACTTCAGCCTGGGCAACAGATCAAGACTCCGTCTCAAAAAACAAAACAAGACAAAAAAACCAAACCAACCAAACAAAAAGATGAAATGCTATTTGCAGAAATTGTCTGTACCCACTGATGATCCTTACCTTAGGATGATCATCTCTTGCCTGGACAGGATAATTCTAAAACGTACTTCAGATTGTCACTCTTCACTCGAAACCCCCTAAAGAGTTCTCACTCAGGGTACGAGCCAAAGTCCTTAAATGTCTAAAAGGCCAGCTAACCTTCCCACCCCATCTATGACCCTTTTCCTCTGATGTTCTCCCACACTCCTCCTGCCCTGCTGGAGGGGTATGCATTAGCCTCCTGACTCACCAGACATGCAGTAGCCTCCAGCCTCACTCTTTCCCTAGGCATACACATGACTGTCCCTCCTGAGAGGCCTTTCATCTGGCACCTTCTCTGTGAGCCTTACTGCCACTCTGTCTAAAAGTGTACTCACCCCTACCTCCAACCAAACACTCCCTACATTTGTTTCCTGTGGCTGCCATAACAAATTGCCAGAAACATGATCGATTAAAACAACAGACATGTATTCTTTCTCAGTCACAGAGGGCAGAAGTCCAAAGCCAGGAGAGGGCTGAGCTGCACTTCTCTAGAGGCCCTCGGGGAGATTGTTTTCCTGTCTCTTCCAGTTTCTGGTGGCTCCAGGCATTCCTTGACTTATGGCAGCATTATTTTTCCAGTGTCTGCCTCTGTGATCACAAGGCCTCTTTCTTTTCTTTTCTTCTTTTAGGTTTTTTTTTTTTTTTTGAGAATAAAACACATAACATAAAATTTACCATCTTAACTTTGCTTTTTTTTTTTTTTGAGACTCAATCTGTTGCCCAGTGTCTTGCTCAGGCTAGAGTGCAGTGTTAGGATCATAGCTCACCGTACCCTCAACCTCTTGGGCTCATACTGTCCTTCCGAGTCTCCCAAGTAACTGGGACCACAGGAATACGCCACCATGCTTGGCTAATGGTTTTGTTTTGTTTTGTTTTTGAGACAGAGTCCCACACTGTCACCCGGGCTGGAATGCAAGGGCATGGTCTCAGCTCACTGCAACCTCTGCCTCCTGGGTTCAAGCGATTCTCCCGCCTCAGCCTCCCGAGTAGCTGGGATTACAGGCATGTGCCACCACACCCGGCTAATTTTTGTATTTTTAGTAGAGATGGGGTTTCACTATATTGGCCAGGCTGGTCTCAAACTTCTGACCTCGTGATCTGCTCGCCTCGGCTTCCCAAAGTGCTGGGATTACAGGCGTGAGCCACCATGCCTGGACATCTTAATCATTTTCAGGTGTGCGGTTCAGTCTGTTAAATATATTCACATTGTTATGAAACAGATCTCCAGAACTTTTTCATTTTGCCAATCTAAAACTCTACCCATTAGACAACAGCTCCCCCCATAGGTAACCATTCTATTTTTTGCTTCTGTGATTTTGACTACTTCAGACACTTTATTGAAATGGTATCATATGGTAATTGTCTTTCTGTGATTGACTTATACCACTTAGCATAATGTTAAGTTTCATCCATGTTGTAGCATGGATCAGAATTTCATCCCTTCTGATGGCTTGTAATACTCCATTGTATGTATATACCACAATTTTTGTGGTAGGTACAATGTACATATTTACATTGATTCTACCTTTTGGCTATTGTGAATAATGCTGCTATGAAAATTGGAGTGTAGGTATCTTGTCTAGATCCTGACTTCCTTTGGATAAATACTTAAAGGTGGGACTGCTGAATTATAAGATTGTTTTCCTTTTTTTTTTTTTTTTTTGAGACGGAGTTTCGCTCTTCTTGCCCAGGCTAGAGTGCAATGGTGTGATCTCAGTTCACTGCAACCTCTGCCTCCTGGGTTCAAGTGATTCTCCTGCCTCATCCTCCTGAGTAGCTGGGATCACAGGCATATACCACCATGCCCAGCTAATTTTATATTTTTAGTAGAGACAGGGTTTCTCCATGTTGGTCAGGCTGGTTTCAAACTCCCAACCTCAGGTGATCCTCCCGCCTCAGACTCCCAAAGTGCTGGGATTGCAGGCAGGAACCGCCTGATTGTTTTACTTTTAATTATTTAACACTTTTTTTTTCTTGAGATGGAGTTTTGTTCTATCACTCAAGCTGAAGTGTAGTGGGGCGATCTCTGCTCCTGCAACCTCCACCTCCTGGGTTCAAGCAATTCTCCTGCCTCAGCCTCCTGAGTAGCTGGGACTATAGCTGCACACCACCATGCCCAGCTAATATTTGCATTTTTTTGTAGAGACAGGGTTTTATCATGTTGGTCAAGCTGGTCTCAAACTCCTGACCTCGTGATCCACTGGCTTTGGGCTCCTAAAGTACTGATATAGGCGTGAGCCACCGCGCCCTGCCTATTTACCACTCTTTTAACATTTATTTTCTGTTTTTGTTTTTTTAATAGTAGCCATTATTAGGTAAGGTATTTCTGTGTCTCTTATAAGGACACCTGTCATTGGATTTAGGGCCCACCTGGTTAATCCAGGATTATCAAGTCTCAAAATCCTTAATTACATCTGTAGAGACTCTTTTTCCACATAAGGTCACATTCACAGGTTCCAGTGATTCAAACACGGACATATCTTCTGGGGTCCACCATTAAGTCTACTATACTTAATTCTGCTGTACCTTAGTTTTCTTCTTGACACTTATCTCCATCTGACATGCTCTGTATTTCTTTCTTTATCTTGTTGGGCAGACAACAATCAAGATAAAGCCACAAGACAAGGATTTACTGTTGTTGTTGTTGGTTGGTTTGTTGCTTTTTGAGACAGGGCCTCACTCTGTCACCCAGGCCTGGAGTGCTGTGGCACAGTCTCAGCTCACTGCAACCTCTGCCTCCCAGGCTCAAGTGACACCCCCCCACCTCAGTCTCCCAAGAAGCTGGGGCTACAGGTACATGTCACCATGCCTGGCTAATTTTTTGTATTTTTGGTAGCGACAGGGTTTTACCATGTTGTCCAGGATGGTCTCGACTTCTGAGTTCAGATGATCCACCCGCCTTGGCCTCCCAAAGTTCTGGGATTACAGGCATGAGCCACTGTGCCTGGCCTCCTAAGTTAAATTTCCTACTGTGGAGAATACAGTCTCTTTAATATTATCTTTCAATTAAGACAAATTTCAGGATCCTTTTTTTAAAAAAAGAAGAAAATAAAAAGTTTGCCAATACAAATATCATTTCTCACTAAAGTGAATTAGGGTTCCTTGAAGAAATGGTTGATTTTGTTTCTATGGCAGTAAATAGATAAAACAGAAAGCAAGGAAGCCCAGGGTGTCCAATCTTTTGGCTTCCCTGGGCCACATTGGAAGAAGAATTGTCTTGGGCCACACATAAAGTGCTCTAACAACAGCCAACGAGCTAAAAACAAAACAAAACAACAACAACCAAAAAACCTCACACACACAAAAAAGTCCTTGAAAACAGATTAATACAGAAAAAAAAATCTAATGTTTTTAGCAAGTTTCTGAATTTGTGTTGAGCTGCATGGGACAAGCTTGACCTAAAGACTTCTAGGATTGTGGACTACTAGGATTGTGCCACAAGGACACAAGCAACTCAATATTTGATGAGACAATCTGAACATTTAAAAAAGGACAATGACTATAATGGATTAAAGTACATCAAATATCCAAACATCCATCAGTTCATGAGAGCACTGCTCCTTCTCCCCAAGAAACCCAAATTGGTCACAGTTAGAGGTTGCTGGGGCATCCATCCATCATTATTATGATTACTATTATTATTTGAGACAAAGTCTCACTCAGTTCCCAGGCTAGAGTGATGTGGTACCATCAACGGCTCACTGTATCCTTAACCTCCTGGGCTCCAGCCACCTCCCTGCCTCAGTCTCCCAAGTAGCTGGAATTATAGGCATGCATCTCCATGCCCGTCTAATTTTTTAGTATTTTGTAAAGGGAGATCTTGCCATTTCCTGGACTCAAGCAGTCCTCCTGTCTTGGCCTCCCAAAGTGCTGGTATTGTAGCCATAGCCACTGTGCCTAGGAAAGCATCAAGCACACATCCTGGCCATCCTGAATGGATTGTATTTCACAGTAACCAGAGAGATGAGGGAATGCTCATCTTTGTGGAAGAATCTCATCTTAAAAATGCAGGAGGAATGAGAGCATTCGATTCACCACTTTGCACCCCTAAGGAACATCATAAATCTACACTAGGGTTTCTCAACCTGGTACTACTGACATTTTGAACTGGATAATTCTTTGCTATGAAGTGGGCGGGGCAGGTTGTGTTCTGTGAATTACACAATGTTTAGCAGTACTTCTTGCCTTCACTTTCTAGATAACAGCAGTAACACCCCCCAGCCCCCACCCAGTTGCAACAATCCAAAATATCTCCTGACATTGCCAAACTTCCCCTTGGTAGGACAGGGCAAAATCAACCCTGGTTGAGAACCACTAGTCTAATGATCGTCAACATTGGCTAGACTATTACAAGAAAGACTGATAGTAAACTTTATGATGGATAATCAGAATGACGACCCCTGAACTGAGAGATAAATTACAATTATTACTAAAAGTCAACCCCACCTTGTGCCTCAATAGAAGTACACAGTGCTAGCCATGAAGTATTCTTGCAAATAAAACAAACAAACCCAAACCTCAACATTAAACCTGAACCTAGTGAAGCCTCTAGCCAGGGTTAAATCCAAGCTTTGTGGGGCCTTAAACTACACAAATTTCGGCTGGGAGCATTGGCTTATGCCTGTAATCCCAGCACTTTGGGAGGCCAAGGCAGGTGGATCACCTCAGGTCAGGAGTTCGAAACCAGCCTGGCCAATATGGTGAAACTCTATTTCTACTAAAAACACAAAAAATTAGTGAGGCATGGTGGCACATGCCTGTAATCCCAGCTACTCAGGAGGCTGAAGCATGAGAATTGCTTGAACCTGGGATGTGGAGGTTGTAGTGAGCTGAGATAGCCCTATCCAGCCTGGGCAACAATGAAACTCCATCTCAAAAAAAAAAAAAAAAAAAAAAAAAAAAAAGAAAAGAAAACCAACAACAGAAAGCTATACAGGCCGGGCGTGGTGGCTCACGCCTGTAATCCCAGCACTTTGGGAGTCCGAGGCGGGTGGATCATGAGGTCAAGAGATCGAAACCATTCTGGTCAACATGGTGAAACCCCGCCTCTACCAAAAATACAAAAAATTAGCTGGGCATGGTGGCACGTGCCTGTAATCCCACCTACTCGGGAGGCTGAGGCAGGAGAATTGCCTGAACCCAGGAGGTGGAGGTTGCGGTGAGCCGAGATTGCGCCATTGCACTCCAGCCTGGGTAACAAGAGCGAAACTCTGTCTCAAAAAAAAAAAAAAAAAGGTAAATGACACATGAAGATACAATCAGCAAAACCCAGACAGTGGAAAATTCTGTTGGGCAAATGACCCAGTTTCTTTAATTAGTAAATGGCATGAATAACAACAAAAAGAGAAGGGGAATTTATATATATTTGTTTTTGTTTGTTTTGAGACAGAATCTCACTCTATCACCCAGGCTGGAGTGCAGTGGTGGGATCCTGACTCACTGCAACCTCTGCTTCCTGCATTCTAGCGATTCTCCTGCCTCAGCCTCTCAAGTAGCTGGGATTACAGGTGTGTGCCACCACACATGGCTAATTTTTGTATTTTCAGTAGAGATGGGGTTTCACCATGTTGGCCAGGCTGGTCCCAAACTCCTGACCTCAAGTGATCCTCCCACCTTAGCCTCCCAAAGTGCTGGGATTACAGGCATGAGCCACCATGACCAGCTGGAATTGTTATATATTAAGAGACATATATTTCAGTGAAATTCAGTAAGTAAACCTTGCTTGGACCCTAATTAAACAATCTAATGTACAAAGTTGTTTTGAGGTAATGTGGGGAATTAAACACATACTAGGTATTAAGTGATGTTAAATAATTTTAAAATTTTGGTGGTTGTGATAATAGTATAAAGTCCTTATCTGTTAGAGACACACACTGATATATTTATAGGTGAAATGACATGATGTTCAGGATTTGCTCTAATATACAGCACTTTTTAAAAAAATGCAGAAAGGAAGGCCAGGCGCGGTGGCTCACGCCTATAATCCCAGCACTTTGGGAGGCTGAGGCGGGTGGATCACGAGGTCAAGAGATCGAGACCATCCTGGTCCACAAGGGGAAACCCAGTCTCTACTAAAAATACAAAAAAATAGCTGGGTATGGTGGTGCACGCCTGTAGTCCCAGCTACTCAGGAGGCTGAGGCAGGAGAATTGCTTGAACCCAGGAGGCAGAGGTTGTGGTGAGCCCAGATTGTGCCATTGCACTCCAGTCTGGGTAACAACAGTGAAACTCTGTCTCAAAAAAAAAAAAAAAAAAAAAAAAAAAAAAGCAGAAAGGGATAGATAAAATGAAAAAGGCAGAAAACCAACTGTTGTTGAAGTTGGATGATAAGTAAAGTCCTCCCTTACTACCCAAGGGGATTGGTTCCTGGACCCCCATGGATACCAAAATCCAGGTTATGTGCAAGTCCTTTATAAAAGTTCATTGTAACTATTCTACTTTTATGTGTTTGTAAATTCTGTTGCTAAAATATATATTTTTTTTGTAGAGAAGGGGTTTCACCTGTTGGCTAGGCTGGTCTCGAACTCCTGACCTCAGGTGATCCACCAGCCTTGGCCTCCCAAAGTGCTGGCATTACAGGCGTGAGCCACCGCGCCCACCCGGCCTTAATAAAAACAGTTTCAACCTTTCTTTGCTCTGATTCCATGCCCACTAAGTAACATTCTAGTTTGTTTTTCACTTTCAAAGGGGTATGCTGTAACTAGGGGATGTAAGCCAGCTCCTTGACCCTACTTATTACAAGTTTTCGTTCCACCCCCACTTTTTTTTAAAGACAGAGTCGCGCTATCACTGCTTAATGCATCCTCGACCTCATGAGTTCAAGCGATTCTCCTGCCTCAGCCTCCCAGGTACCTGGGACTACAGGCGCACACCACCACGCCGGTCAGTTCTTTGTATTTTTTGTAGAGACGGGGTTTCACCATGTTGTCGAGGCTGGTCTCGAGCTCCTGGGCTCAAGCGATCCGCCCGCTTCAGCCTCCCAGAGTGCTGGTGTCAGCCATCGCGCCGGGCCCCAGCTTCTTAAAAGAATGATCCGACATGAAAAAAAAAAAAAAAAAGAAAGGAATGATCCGAAACTATGGTAGCACTGGGCTTTTTGGTCCCCACCCAAGAAACGCCGTCTCGCAGAGGCTCGCCGCAGCAGGCTCTCCCGACGTGACAGTGTGTGGGTCTGGATTCTGCCTCGGTTCTCACGAATCAGATAGGTAAACATTCAGAGAAGAAAAATCATAGGACTTTTTCTTTGTTTTTAGTACAGAAAGCACTAGAGAGCCCGCGTTGAGAACCCAAAGGAACGCTTCAGGCCATCGTAGCCACCAAGCCTAGCCAGATTCCGTCCAACGTTTCCCTCGGTGCTTGGAGACCCAAATCTAACGGGGGCTGCAGGCGGTCGTGACTGCGCAGGCGCCTCTCCCCAGCGGCGCTGCTGGGGACAGCGAGCAGGCGCCCTTTCTCTGAGTGGCGTCGCTGGGGCAGCGCGCAGGCGCAGAGCAGCAGCGGTGTGGGAGGTACTCAGACGAAACCGGGTGAGAAATGGAGGGCGGGGGTCATTGCGCATGCGCCCTCTACCCTTGTTGCGGCGGGGTGCGGGCGCCAGACTGCGTGAGTGGGCGGGGCGCGGGGCGGGGCAGTGTTCGGTGGGGAGCTGCAGACGGCAGGCGGACATCACTGCGCAGGCGCCTTCTTCCCTTACAGCCTCGCTAGGCTGACGCGCAGGCGCAGAGCGGCGCGCACCTGTGCGCAGGCGCTTGGGGTGGGGGAGAGGCGCGATGGCAGGTGTCGGGGCTGGGCCTTCGCGGGCGATGTGGCAGCAGGTACTGCTGCTTCTCGCGCTATGCGCCACAGGCGCCCGAGGACTCTACTTTCACATCGGCGAGACAGAGAAGCGCTGTTTCATCGAGGAAATCCCCGACGAGACCATGGTCATCGGTCAGGCGGGCTGAGGGTGGGGAGGAAGCCCTTTGTACCCCGCTCGGCCCTCGGCGAGCTCCCTCCCAAGCCCAGCCGGGTCTCTGGCACCCCCATACCTAGCCTTAGGGTGCCCCGAGGACGCCAGGCCCCCTGCCTAGAGGCCCGGGTCGCACGTCGGAGGGGGCCGGGTCATGATTATGTGTCTGCCCCGCAGGCAACTATCGTACCCAGATGTGGGATAAGCAGAAGGAGGTCTTCCTGCCCTCGACCCCTGGCCTGGGCATGCACGTGGAAGTGAAGGACCCCGACGGCAAGGTAAGGCTGGCTCTAGCCGACGCAGCCGTTCTTCAGTGGAGCTCCCATGGGGTATAAAGCCCTGCCTGCTCGAGGCCTCAAGAGACAGGAGCTTGCACTTGGAGAGGCTGCGGTATAAAGGTGGGGACTTCCACTGACCCATGTTGTAGGTGGTGCTGTCCCGACAGTACGGTTCAGAGGGCCGATTCACGTTCACCTCTCACACGCCTGGTGACCATCAAATCTGTCTGCACTCCAACTCTACCAGGATGGCTCTCTTCGCTGGTGGCAAACTGGTAAAAGGATTTTCTCTTTGGCTTCAGCTTAGAATCTCTCACTTGTTTCCAAATTTTGATTTATCATTTTTGTGAAACTTTGTAGCACAGTCAGAATTAGGGAGAGAGATTGTTGCCCTCTGCTCCACAGCCAGGGACAAGAATGGGTTCTATATCCTGGAACAGACAATTGGAGGCCTCACCATTCAGACACTTCATGTTTTCTTGTAGCGTGTGCACCTTGACATCCAGGTTGGGGAGCATGCCAACAACTACCCTGAGATTGCTGCAAAAGATAAGCTGACGGAGCTACAGCTCCGTGCCCGCCAGTTGCTTGATCAGGTGGAACAGATTCAGAAGGAGCAGGATTACCAAAGGGTAAGGCCATATCTCCTTGTAATTGGAGAGGGCAGTTGACCTTTATACCCACTATACCTACTCAAGTTTCTGCTTGGACAGCTCTGCAGAGAATGGAATGAAAGGTATTGGTCTGGATATTTTTGTTTTTTTGTTTGTTTTTTGAGATGGAGTTTCGTTCTTGTTGCCCAGGCTGGAGTGCAATGGCATGATCTTGACCACCGCCTCCTAGGTTCAAACAATTCTCCTGCCTCAGTCTTCTAAGTAGCTGGGTTTACAGGCATGCACTACCACACCTGGCTAATTTTGTATTTTAAGTAGAGACGATATTTCTCCATGTCGGCCAGGCTGGTTTGGAACTCCCGACCTCAGGTGATCCGCCCACCTTGGCCTCCCAAAGTGCTGGGATTACAGGCGTGAGCCACCTCGCCCAACTTGTTTTTTAAATCAAAACTTTTTATTGTGAAATACACATAACACAAAATGTGACATTTTAACTGTTTCTAAGTGTATACTTCAGTGGTATCAAGTGCATTCCTAATGTTGTGCTACCAGCACCATCATCCAGCTCCAGAACTTTTTCATCTTCTCAAACTAAAAATCTGTATTTATTTATTTAGAGACAGAGTCTTGCTCTGTTGCCCAGGCTGGAGTGTAGTGGTGCGATCTCCGCTCAGTGCAACCCGGGTTCTGCCTCCCGGGTTCAAGCAATTCTCCTGCCTCAGCCTCCCGAGTAACTGGGATCACAGGCATACGCCACCACACCTGGCTAAGTTTTGTGTTTTTAGTAGAGACAGAATTTCACCATGTTGGCCAGTCTGGTCTTGAACTCCTGACCTCAGGCGATCTACCTAATTCCAGCCTCCCAAAGTGCTGGGATTACAGGTGTGACCTACTGCACCCAGCAAATCTGTACTTAATATAAACAATAACTCCCCATTTCCCTTTCTCCTGACACCCACCATTTTATTTTCTGTCTCTATGATCTGGATTACCCTGCCTCATTTAAGTGGAATCATTCAGTATTTGTCCTTTCTATGACTGGCTTACTTCACTGAGCATAATGCTCTCAAAGTTCATCCATGTTATAGCATGTGTCAGAATTTATTTATTTATTTTTTTTTGAGACGGAGGTTTGCTGTTGTTACCCAGACTGGAGTGTAATGGCACGATCTCGGCTCACCGCAACCTCCGCCTCCTGGGTTCAAGCAATTCTCCTGCCTCAGCCTCCCGAGTAGCTGGGACTACAGGCGCGCACCACCACGCCCAGCTAATTTTTTGTATTTTTAGTAGATACGGGGTTTCACCATGTTGACCAGGATGGTCTCGATCTCTTGACCTCGTGATCCACCCACCTCGGCCTCCCAAAGTGCTGGGATTATAGGCGTGAGCCACTGTGCCCGGCCAGAATTTCTTTCCTTAAGGCTAATATTCCATTGTATGCATGTGCCACATTTTGCTTTCAGTAGTCATTTTTAAGCTCTATAAAATAAAGTGAGAAAAGGGCAGTTTACAATCTAGTAACAGGCATTGCCTGTTTTTTTTTTTTTGGGATCTTGTCGGAAATGGTAGGATCATGATTTCAGTCCCAACAGAGATGCTTATGGAGGGACAGCCCATCCCTTTCTTGGGGCAGCCTCAGTGGGGAGACCGTAGCACTCCTAATGGAGTCACAGGTAGTATTCCAAAAGGAGTTTGGTCCTGTGATTGAGTAGTTACATGCAGGGAGGGTCCTCACAACAGCCAGGGACTAGACTGTTTCTCTTGCTCATTTAATCCTGTGTTGCCCCACACAGTATCGTGAAGAGCGCTTTCGACTGACCAGCGAGAGCACCAACCAGAGGGTCCTATGGTGGTCCATTGCTCAGACTGTCATCCTCATCCTCACTGGCATCTGGCAGATGCGTCACCTCAAGAGCTTCTTTGAGGCCAAGAAGCTGGTGTAGTGCTCTCTTTGTATGACTCTTCCTTTTTACCTCATTTATTTGGTACTTTCCCGATACAGTCCTTTATCCACCTGGATTTTTAGGGAAAAAAATGAAAAATAATAAGTCACATTGGTCCCATGGCCACAAACCATTCAGATGAGCCACTTGCCAACCCTGGTTCTCAAAGACACAGGACATTAGTCCAGTCTTGCAACATCCATCTTAGGGCATGTAAGGAATCAAAGCTAACCCAGGACTCAGTCTTGCTGCTTTTGCCTCGAGTGATTTCCCTCTGTTTTTCACTAAATGAGCAAATGAAAAATCTCTCCATTACCTTCTGCTTTCCCTTTGTCTGCTTATGCAGTAGGTGACTGGCATGCGCCACAGAGCAGGCCTTGCCTCACTGTCTGCTGGGTTCACTCAGTGGCTTTGTGAATGTAAATAAGGGCAGGTCTTGACCCTAGAGAAGTGAGATGTTTTTCTATATCTTAGAACTATTTTTTGATAAATTATATATTTTCCTTCCTAGTAGAAGTTTTACTGCCTGTAACTGGCTTAGAACACCAATGCAATCCTTCTGCATTCTGTTTTTTTTTTCTTCCTTTTTTTGAGTCAGAGTTTTGCTCTTTTCGCGCAGGCTGGAGTGCAATGGCGTGATCTTGGCTCACTGGCAACCACTGCCTCTCGGGTTCAGGTGATTCTCCCACCTCGGCCTCCCGAGTAGCTGGGATTACAGGTGCCCACCACCATGACCAGCTAATTTTTGTATTTTTAGTAGAGATGGGGTTTCACCATATTGGCCAGGCTGGTCTTGAACTCTTGACCTCAGGTGATCCACATGCCTCAGCCTCTGCATTCTGTTTATTCACACATGTTTGGTAACTCCCATGGCAGCTTCTAGGATTTCAGCGGCCTGTGGGGCAGAAAGCCGGCATTGGGGCTACTCTCAAGGCCGTATCAGAGGGCCAAGCAGCGTTCTCTTGGATACCTGCTTTTCATCCCACAGGGCCTCAGAGTCAGAGGTAAGGTGACAACAGAAGTAGCATGGAGCATGCACTCTTATCCTCCCTTTCAACTTTTATTTAAGCTGTGCTAAATGTTTTCTTCAATGGTTCTTTACAGAATTTTCCAGTGAAATAAAACATGTTGTAATAGCTGTGTTTGAAATAAGAGGTTGTGGGCAGAGGGGAGGCACCTAAAGGAAAAGAGGAAAGGTGCCTGGACTGCCTATGCAGATGACCTGGAGTGCACTTCAGTGTGGACTGGTGGTGCTAAGGCTTGGCCTGGACCCGCAGTCCAGGGATATGGGAATACATGGGGTGGTTGCTCAACCATTCGCAAAAGTCAACCAAATAGACCACATATCTGCAAGGAATCTGAGGAAATTAAGTACCTTGTTTCTCAGTCCTCTTAATCATAAATCTGAACAAATTTTAAGATATTTCCCTCATGCCCTTCTATATAAAACTTAATGCCATTAGTTCCCCATTCTTGACATTTTATTTCAATTTTATTATATATTTATTTAAAATATTTATTAAATTATCTGACCTACAGAACTAAATTATTCTCCTTTTGTTATTTCTCCTTATGTCCTATACTATATAGGGATATGTACCTCTTTTATATGTAAACATATATATATATATTTTTTTTTTTTTGAGTCTTGCTCTGTTGCCCAGGCTGGAGTGCAGTGGCATGATCTTGGCTCACTGCAACCTCTGCCTCCCAGGTTCAAGCAGTTCTTCTGCCTCAGCTTCCTGAGTAGCTGGGATTACAGCCACCCACCACCACGCCTGGATAATTTTTGTATTTTTATTTATTTGTTTTTGAGATGGAGTCTCACTCTGTTGCCCAGGCTGGAGTGCAGCAGTGCAATCTTGGCTCATTGCAACCTCTACTTCCTGAGTTCAAGAGATTCTCCTGCCTCAGATTCCCAAGTAGCTGGTATTACAGGCACCTGCCACCATGCCCAGCTAATTTTTATATTTTTAGTAGAGATGGGGTTTTGCCGTGTTGACCAGACTGGTCTTGAACTCTTGACCTCAGGTGATCTGCCCGCTTTGGCCTCCCAAAGTGCTGGGATTAAAGGTATGAGCCACCGTGTCTCACCATGTTGGCCAGGCTGGTCCTTCCTCAGCCTCCCAAAGTGCTAGGATTACAAGTGTGAGTCACTGTGCCTGGCATATATATATGATATATATATCTATACATATATTTATATGTATATATCATATATATATAAGTGATGGGTTCTTGCTCTGTCCCCAAGGCTAGAGTGCAGTAGTGCCATCATAGCTGAAAGCAACCTGAGCTCCCAGGTTCAAGTGATCCTTTTACCTTACCCTCCCAAGTAGCTGGTACTACAGGTGTACCCCACTGTGCCCGGCTATTTTTACTCATAAAAATACATGTGGGCTGGGCACAGTGTCTCACACCTGTATTCCTAGCAATTTGGGAAGCCAAAAACTCCTGTAGCCCAGGAGTTCAAGACTAGCCTGAGCAACATGGCAAAATCTTGTCTCTACAAAAGGTACAAAAAAATTAGCAGGTGGCACATGCCTGTAGTCCCAGCTACTTGAGAGGCTGAGGTGGGATGATCACGAGCCCAGGGAGGTCAAGGCTGCAGTGAGCCATGATTGCCACTGCACTCCAGGCTGGGCAACAGAATGATCCCATCTCCAAAAAACAAAATGCAATTTAGGGTCAGGCACAGTGGCTCATGCCTATAATCCCAGCACTTTGGGAGGCCAAGGCAGGTGGATCACCTCAGGTCAGGAGTTTGAGACCAGCCTGGCCCACATGGTGAAACCCCATCTTTACTAAACATATAAAAATAAGCCAGTCGTGGTGGTGCGTGCCTGTAATCCCAGCTACTCAGGAGGCTGAGGTAGGAGAATTGCTTGAACCTGGGAGGAGGAGGTTGCAGTGAGCAGAAATTGAGCCACTGCACTCCAGCCTGGGCGACAGAGTGAAACTCCGTCTCAAAATAAATAAAAACAATTTCGTTCTCTAGGCTTTTCCTTTTCCATTTAATATTTTTATATCCTCATATTTCTAAATCTGGATGACAGTATCAACAGTTCAGTAAGGTGAATTGCTAAACGTCTCAGTATTCCTATTAGAATTAACAGAAAAATCTTAAGTCCTTTGAACTAGTTACGTGTTTTGGACTTTTGACCTGAGGCTCTTGGGAATGAAGTGAAATGTTGGGAAGGGACACATTTCTGCTCTGTGGCTGTTGTTAGAAATATAGCTGTCAAATCAGACCGTGCCTGTGAGAAGACAGGAAGGCAGAGATTAGGGCTGGGCCGGCCTTCAACAGGTTTGGCTGGCAGTAGGCACAATGGAGCACATCTTAACTATTCTGGTAGGTTTCTCTCGGTAGTTTTTGATAGGAAGGGTAATGGTGTGAGGAAAAACTGAGCATAGATTTCACCTTTCCGCTGATGAGGCAGATGCAATTGGGATAGCCAGTGGATGGGCCAACAGCTAGTGGCTGTGAGGAGAATAATAGTTTCCACACTGGTGTGTCATATCTGCAGATAGGTTGCCACCTAAAAAGATTTTTTAAAACACAGCAGTTGGCCCGACGCTATGGCTCACGCCAGTAATCCAGCACTTTGGGAGGCCGAGGCGGGCGTTTCACGAGGTCAAGAGATCGAGACCATCCTGGCCAACATGGTGAAATCCTCGTCTCTACTAAAAAGTACAAAAATTAGCTGGGCGTGGTGGCGCGCGCCTGTAGTCCCAGCTACTTGGGAGGCTGAGGCAGGAGCATTGCTTGAACCCGGGTGGCGGAGGTGGCAGTGAGCCGAGCTCGCGCCGCTGCACTCCAGCCTGGCGACAGAGCGAGACTCTGTCTCAAAACAAACAGAAAAAATGAGCAGTTAGGGTATACACGCGCTGATCGGAGCACAACCGCTCCACGGCCTCCTAGACCGAGTCAGGCTCTGCGCAGCCGCAGAGCTTCGCCAGAACACCGGAAGCCTAGGCGCCAGGACTTCCGGGAAGTAACGGCGTCTCCGAAGCTGATTGGTTGTTGCTTTGCGCCAACCCCGCGTCAGTGGTATTCTTTTCGCAGGGCGTGCGTGCTGCCGCTACTGAGCAGCGCCATGGCGGACTCGGAAGCACTGGGCTTTGAACACATGGGCCTCGATCCCCGGCTCCTGCAGGTACACGGGGGGGCTGGGGAGCCGGCTTACCGGCTCCACGGGACACACCATCACTCTTCGCACCGCTTGAGCCGCACTCCTGGTCTCTCCTAGGCTGTCACTGACCTGGGCTGGTCGCGACCTACGCTGATCCAGGAAAAGGCCATCCCACTGGCCCTAGAGGGGAAGGACCTCCTGGCTCGGGCCCGCACGGGCTCCGGGAAGACGGCCGCTTATGCTATTCCGATGCTGCAGCTGTTGCTCCACAGGAAGGCGGTGGGTAACGAGAGAGCTGAGGGGAGGAAGGAGGCGAGCCCCCAAAGCCTGGGAAGAGCGGTTCCCGTTTGTCTGAGGTTCTCTCTTGGCCCTGTACCCATGCAGGCTGGCCTGGAGTTCAGGTTACCTGGATCCTTGTCTAGGCCCTGCTATGATCAACTTTTGTGTAATCTTCAACAGAGCACTTTCTTTTCTTTATTACATAAAAAGGGCAATTTCTCTTCTACTTATAGAATTATTGTGACAATTTAGCTCCATAAATTTAAAGTAGCTTCATAAACATAGAGTACATTATTCTTTTGAGGGTCAGTGCTTGGGGAAAATGCTCTGCATTTTGAGGCGGGCAGAGTGATGGATGATCAAAATACAGCTGAGCAGTGTGGCAGCAGATGGGTCAGATAGGCTGGAACGGGTAGAGAAAAGGATCAGGTGGACACAGTGACATGCACTGGTGGCTAAAGTTTTTAATTCATATTCTTACAGACAGGTCCGGTGGTAGAACAGGCAGTGAGAGGCCTTGTTCTTGTTCCTACCAAGGAACTGGCACGACAAGCACAGTGCATGATTCAGCAGCTGGCTACCTACTGTGCTCGGGATGTCCGAGTGGCCAATGTCTCAGCTGCTGAAGACTTAGCCTCTCAGAGGTGGGTAAAAGCAGCAAAGCTGCACCTGAATGAAGCTACACAGAGTTGTGGGGTTGGGTTTATGTGTGGCAAAAAAGAGAGCAAGTCCAGGCTGAGATCCAGCTGCTACGTTCTCCCTGATACTGATGTCTTGCCCACCTTCAGAGCTGTGCTGATGGAGAAGCCAGATGTGATAGTGGGGACCCCATCTCGCATATTAAGCCACTTGCAACAAGACAGCTTGAAACTTCGTGACTCCTTGGAGCTTCTGGTGGTGGACGAGGCTGATCTTCTTTTTTCCTTTGGCTTTGAGGAAGAGCTCAAGAGTCTCCTCTGGTAAGGCAGAGGTGGGTGTGATTCCTAATGGAAACATCTGTGAGTAGGATTTGGGACTACAGTGGGATGGCGGGAAGCCAGTTACCACAGTTAGAGGCTCTTGGAGCTGGAATCTCATTGGACTCTCATTTCAGTCACTTGCCCCGGATTTACCAGGCTTTTCTCATGTCAGCTACTTTTAATGAGGATGTGCAAGCACTCAAGGAGCTGGTATTACATAACCCGGTAAGGGACACCATGGAAGTGGCTGGAGCTGCAGGCATGGGGGTACTCGAAGATCTTGACACTCCTTCTTAGAGGAGCCTTTGGTGTTTTGGGTGGGATAGTTGTCAGTGTCTCATCCCTGGTTCTGAGGCACTAAAAGCCAGTGGTCTAAAATCACTATATATTTCCACGTCTCCATAAGGGATGTCTCCCATTTCAGGCCATACTTGGCCTAAAATCCTGAGCAAGGACATAATGGGTGGCTTTGAGCAGCAGAGCCAAAATTCTAAGGCCAATGTTCTCATCTTAAGTAAACTTTACCTTTCAGAAGGCTGGTTGCTGTAGGCCTTCCCCACTTGATGTAATTCTTTATTGATGTGTTTCTCTTCGTTCTGTGCCTGGAAGTATTTTATATATGGTTCCTGTGGTATACTCGATATACCACAGCAGTTAGGGCATTTTGGGTTTATGTTACAAAACTGGAGGAGACTTAGGGTGCCAGGAATCCTGAAATGCCTGCACTGAAATGTTGATATTTTGGTTGGTGAGTAAGTGGCCATACCATCTCTGTGTTCTCTTCCTTTCTGACCACAGACCTGTCTTCTCCCCAGGTTACCCTTAAGCTACAGGAATCCCAGCTGCCTGGGCCAGACCAGTTACAGCAGTTTCAAGTGGTCTGTGAGACTGAGGAAGACAAATTCCTGTTGCTGTATACGCTGCTCAAGCTGTCATTGATTCGGGGCAAGTCTCTGCTCTTTGTCAACACCCTAGAGAGGAGTTACCGGCTACGCCTGTTCCTGGAGCAGTTCAGCATCCCCACCTGTGTGCTCAATGGAGAACTTCCACTGCGCTCCAGGTCTGCCACAGCCAACATCTTGGTTGAGATCAGTTGAAGATAGAGACAGAAAGAGGACCCAGTTAATGTTCTGTTTCTTAAACATTTAGTAGGGGCCAGGTTCTAGATGTGACTGATACTGACTGACTTCTTCAAACTCCGATATACCTATCGTTATCTTATTTTCAGTTGAGGAAACTGAGGCACAATGATTAAGTAGGGAAAGAGATTAAGAAGAGGAAAAAGAAAGGGTGATAGTTACTATAATACTAGGGATGGCAGAGGGGCCTCACGCTTGCTCTGCCAAGCTGATCCTCTGTCTACTCTTGGCTGCAGGTGCCACATCATCTCACAGTTCAACCAAGGCTTCTACGACTGTGTCATAGCAACTGATGCTGAAGTCCTGGGGGCCCCGGTCAAGGGCAAACGTCGGGGCCGAGGGCCCAAAGGGGATAAGTGAGTCCATGCTGCTTTTCCCATCCCTCCTCAGAAAAACGTGGGTTTTTGTTTTTGTTTTGTTTTGTTTTTTAGCTTTTTGGAAGACTAAAAGCAGAGTGCACAGAGCAGGGAGCCAAACCTTCCAGGCCTGGCTGGTAGTGTGGTGCAGAAAGCCCCACTTGGCTGCCTGGATATGGAGAAGGGAGTGAATGGTGCACACTGCACATGCCTCATGAAGGGCAAGACTGCTGGGGTTGTTGACCTGCAGACCCCTGCAGGGAAGATGGTCCGTCCTGCATTGGGGGTGTGGCTGTGACTTGCAGGGAGCATATTTCTGAAGGGAAAAGGAACTCCCTCCACCCTCCAGTCTCTGTCTGCCTGAAGGCTTGACTGGCTCAGGGTTGGTTCTCAGATCACCCTGTAGGGCAGTGAGTTCTGCTCTTGTCCCAGAACAGAGGTCAGGCCAGGATTTGCCTACACATCAAAGCTCCAGGCTGCCCCAGGAAATCTACAGGCTTTGTTTAGAGGAAGTTTTGCTGGTTCAGCTCATGAATACCTGCCCAGGGGAAAGGAAGGGTCCAGCTGACATTGAGTAATATCTGCAGGGCTTCTGATCTGGAGGCAGGTGTGGCCCGGGGCATAGACTTCCACCATGTGTCTGCTGTGCTCAACTTTGATCTTCCCCCAACCCCCGAGGCCTACATCCATCGAGCCGGCAGGTAGGAGGGCTAGGAGTTTGATGGGCCAGGCACCTGCGTGGTGGGCATGCCAGTGGACTCAGGTGGGCTGGACAGAGCCTGCGGGTCAGAGATGCAAGCTGTACTGTCTCCCCTTGCAGGACAGCACGCGCCAACAACCCCGGCATAGTCTTAACCTTTGTGCTGCCCACAGAGCAGTCCCACTTAGGCAAGATTGAGGAGCTTCTCAGTGGAGGTAAGAGCCTGGCTCTCTTGTGGACCTGGACTAGGGTCAGGCTTCTCCCACGATGCCTTAAAACTCCGTGATTATGATGACAGTCACAATTTAGTGTGACAGGCCACTTCCACCATCCATCCTTGTTCTGCCCTGAGTGGCAGGCATTGTCCTCCTTGAAAGATAAACAAATTGAGGTCATTTATCCAAAGTTGTGTTTACTGTCTGCCTCCTGAGCATTTAGTGACCTGACATGTTGCTGTGACAGCTTAGGACAGCACCTGACCCTAGCTGTCCTGGACTGCTCTCTATGGCCATCGTTATGGGGTGCCTTGACTCCCAAGGAGTACCATGAGGTACTCCTTGGGAGAGAAGAGAGTGAGTGATGGTTTCTTGGGCTTGGGGCTGCACAGGCCACCCCCATCCACACACAGGGACAGATGGGTCATCACTTGTAAGAGCCCCAGGTACATACAGCTAAGCCCCAGGTACAGCATGTTCGGCATCCCAGGAAGGTGGTGGGTCCCTTGCTTTGCCCCAAGAAACAGGTGCAGGAGGCCTCCAATGAAGACCCTGTACTAAGGCCTCAGCCTGTGGGACCCTTGCTGCTCTCTTCTCTACAGAGAACAGGGGCCCCATTCTGCTCCCCTACCAGTTCCGGATGGAGGAGATTGAGGGCTTCCGCTATCGCTGCAGGGTGAGCTGCTGTGGTGGGGAGAGGAGTGGGGGCGGAGGGGCTGTGGCCCAGGGATCATACCCTGTTATTGAGCATCCAGGTGTGAGGGAGGATTTGGGGCAGCCTCACTGTCTTGACCTCCAGTGTCCACCCTCAGGATGCCATGCGTTCAGTGACTAAGCAGGCCATTCGGGAGGCAAGATTGAAGGAGATCAAGGAGGAGCTTCTGCACTCTGAGAAGCTCAAGGTGAGGGGATGGGAAGTGAAGAGGGGGCAAATCTTAGGTGGCTGCCTCTTTGGAGACTGGCTGAGCTCTGAGTGGTGAGAAGCAGAGAACTGGGCAGTGGACCCAGAATCATAGAAGGAAGCTAGTCTGTTCTGCTTGGTGGTAAATTGGCACAACGCCCTATGGTGGTCATTCAATGTCCAGCAGAATTACGAGCTCATGTGTCCTTTCATCCAAAATTCCACTTCTGGAACTTAATCTTGGTCACACTTGTGAATGTGCATGGCCAAGCGTGTGCCTGGGTTCATCATGGCATTATCAAGGAAGCAGAAGATGGAAACAGCCTGGTGCCACCATAGGGGGTTTGCTAGGTAAACTAAGGTGCATCCAGAGCTAAAATTACATGGAAAGGAAAGAGGTTGAATGTGTGTCCCTATGAAACAGTCTGTAAGATGATGCCCAGCAAAAAGGGGTTCAGGGTGCTGCCGTGTGTGTCATGGGGAAGGAAGAATGGAAACATCCACTCCAGGAGGTGTGAGAAATGCACATAGGCAGCTGCCTCGTGACTTTTAAAACACATGACTGTTATCCTTTGGAAAGTTCAGCCTCTGGAGTCACACAAGAAAGGTGCTGACTGTGCTCTCACTCTTTCCCCGGTAGACATACTTTGAAGACAACCCCAGGGACCTCCAGCTGCTGCGGCACGACCTGCCCTTGCACCCCGCAGTGGTGAAGCCCCACCTGGGCCATGTTCCTGACTACCTGGGTGAGTGCAGCCTGACGGGGCAGGAAGCAGCAGGCTGGGGAAGTGGCATTAATTTCTCCGCTGCTGCGTTAGCGCCTGTGCTTGGTGCTGGGATTGGTCAGGCAGAATAGGACCTGGAGACCTGGGCAGCACGCGAGCACATAAATAGGCACACCCTGTGTTTCTAAACCTGTTTCACTGGTCCCACAGGTTAGCTGTTGCAGTCTCCATTTTGGAGATGAGGAAGCTGAGGTAGTGCCAAGTGGGTGGCAGACTCAGGATTTCAGGCCAGGTGGTCTCCAGGGCTGGGCTGAATGGCTATCCATGGGTGGAAGGGAATGAACAGGTTTGGGAAAGAGTCACAGGCAGGAGGCAGAGACAGCTACCTGTGCTGCAAAAGACTCAGGATTAGCAGCCACTAAAGTCAAGGCCAAGGTATCTGTGGAGTCTCTAGGTAAGAACAGTCAACAGGGAGACAGACACTAGAAAGGCAAAACAGACGAGGTGGCAAGAGAAGAGCCAATGGTGGTGCGAGGGGTACGGGGGTTGGCAGGCGTGAGGTCAGGACCCTGGGATTGGTTTCTGTGGTGCAGCCCAGGCGAGAGCTTTACGTGACCATTAAACCTGGGCACCACTCCTCATCTTAGGCAGACTCTAGGTGATGACTTTCAGTGTCTCATAGGAAGTGTGTTTGGTGATGAGTATGTGTGACTTTTATGCCTAAATGGGTTAAAGGAGAAGAGTGGTGGAGAGGAGGCTCTGGGCAGCAAGTGCAGGAACCTTCCCAGTGCCACAGGGTCTGGTCAGTCTGGACCTGCAGCCAGCTGGTGACTGCTGTTGCTGCTCTGGAGGTGACAGAGGGTGGAGATGGAATGTTCCAGGGCAGGAAAAGCCTGGGCACTGGGAAAGGAAGGATCTAGAAGAAATGGGAATGTGAAAATGCCGGAGAGAAAGTACTGGGAGCCATGTTCCCACAGGACAGTGAGCTGGAGACTAGTCTAGGTCCTGGCCTGAGATGTGAGGAGGGTGATAGGGAGGGTGGGTAGAGAGGGAGGGAGGGGGTGAGGCTGGAGCTTTGGCCTAGCCTGCTCCTACAGTGGAGTCACTTGCCAAGGTGTGGCCAGGAGGTTCAGAAGAGCCAGGAGAAGGTGGAAAGGTGTCAGGATGTGGGATGTTTGACACTTGAAAGGGAGGGCCCAGGTGTGGTTGGCCTGGGGGAGTCCATGGGGTAGGCAAGGTGAAGATACAGCCAAGATCAGGTGCAGCTGGGATGGGGCCTGCCGAATCTGTAGTAATGGGCCACAGGTGAAGAAACTACCAGTTGATTTTTATTTCAGCTACATTTTCTTTCTATAAGGATGTCTGACTTTTTCTTTCCTGTTAACATGTTTATTGAAACAAGTCTAAACAATACAGGAAAGCTATTGAGATAGTGGAAGTCTAATATGCTCACATTCTCCTGGCCCTGTGCAGATGTGATAATAATAGTTGTATGTCATAAGCTGCCAGTTGGGTTAGAATTCAAGAATTTGCTGCAGAATCAGTGGGAGGGCAGGGGTGGGAACAGCAGCCGTGCGCCCACTGCTCAGGCAAGCGTCTCTTCCAGTTCCTCCTGCTCTTCGTGGCCTGGTGCGCCCTCACAAGAAGCGGAAGAAGCTGTCTTCCTCTTGTAGGAAGGCCAAGGTATTGCCCCTGGGGCCTTGGGGCAGCTGCACGACTCCTCCCCACCTGCTGTTTTGTCATCACCAGAATGTGTAGGCACCTTGCCCTAGGGAGTGGGAGAGAGGGCACCCAAGAACTGCTTCCCAAAAATCTGGTGGCTGGGACAAAATCTGGTGTGGGCTAGGGATCCTTCTGCAACCACCTGCAGGCCCTGCTTTGCTTTCCCCAGCTGCCCTTCCCCTTTCATTGTCTGCAGCACCTTCTGGTCTTGTTGGCCAGGTGCTGGCATGGCTCCCTTTGTCTTTTTCAGTTTGGTTGGGTGGGTGGATAGTCTGTCAGCCTGATTCCCCCAACTGACGTTCGATTACCTCCATAGAGAGTGAAGTCCCAGAACCCACTGCACAGCTTCAAGCACAAAGGAAAGAAATTCAGACCTGCAGCCAAGTCCTCCTGAGGTTGCTGGGCCTCTCAAGCTGAGCACAGTGTGGAGCAGAGGCTTCCCTCCTGCATGGACAGGCGAGGCTCTGGTGCTCGCTGCACAGACTCAACAGACAGTTCTGGGGCCGCCAGTGCTGGGCCCTTCAACTCCTTGGCACTGCCAGGCTGGCATCTTGCCCCTTGACAACAGAATAAAAATTTTGGCTGCCCCAGTTTGTGCCTCCGGCATATGAAAAGGACTGTCCCCCAAAACATCAGGAGTCAGGAAACATCCAGAAGACGGAAGCGCCTGGCTCTACGGCTGCATGCAGTGCCTCACTTGGCCAGAAGAGGTCAGCCGTGCCAGGCTGCCCCCAGCCATGAGAAGAGAAGCCTTCCCTCGCTGGCAGGTGGCTATGGCCGTCCCGCCTGGCTTCTGCAATCCTGCTGCCTGGGATCAGGCAGACAGATGGGCCTGCACCCCTGGGAGATGGGCCTTCCCGACCGCCAACCTTCCTCTCCTCCAGCACACGCACATGTAGATTTCTGGGGGAAGCTGCCTGCCCTTCCTTAGAGGAGCCAGGGCAGCTATCTGCTGGTCCCTTTCTGAACATCTGTTAGTGTGTGAGTTGTGTCTGTGTTATATGCATAAGTGGCAGTATCACATGTACACCCACATACAGTTCCTTGTGCCCTGGCCTACCTCTCAGCTGCCTTCTCAGCCTGAAGGCTGGGCCTGTCTGCTGGCTCAGGGCCCTAGTTTGCATGTTACCTGCTTACCAGGCATCACAAGGCCAGGCTGGGGGCATGAGGTTGCGCAGGGGGAGGAGGAGTAGAAACTAGGGGTTTTTAGAAGAAGCCAAGTTTTTTCTTTGCAAAAGTTTGTACAGAGACGAGGGAGGCTGGACCTTTGGTCATGATAGGACTGAAGGTAGCAGGACCCAAGATTTGGGATCTCCATGATCCCTGCTCCCCTTCTGTTGACTCCTGAGGATTTCCACGAAGCCAGCGTATGTGCTGAGGGTGGGATGGTGGTATTTTCTGGGCAGAGCTGCCAGGGAGCAGCAGACAGTATTCTTGCAGTCTGCGGTGGTTAGGAATATTCAGAAAGAAAGAGTTAATGGAACTGGAGAAAAAGCAACAACTGCACAGACCCCATCAGCGGGCAGCCCTCCCACCTTTGGAAGATGAGATAGGGCAGATTGTGCCTGCAGGTCTGAGGCCTGGTCCTTGTCCCAGGTTGGCCTTCCCACCTTGCTTCATGGAGTGCTGAGGCTGGCCCTGGGCACAGTGAGTGCTCTGGATGTTACAGCCAAGCTGTATTCTAAAGTGTTACATACCCTGTCTCCAGGATGGCTTGTCTCTCTGACCTTGTCACTTCCAGGAACACCCTACCAAGAGAGCTTGTATCCCAGAGCCACCCTGGATGGAGAAGAGATTGGGTTTCCCCAGTGATTTCTTTTTGGGGGATGAGGTAGAGGAGCATGGAGCCAGCCTGATGCTGTATTCCTGCCTGGGGACAGCAGGGTCTGGGCCCGGAGCAGAGGAGTTTGGGTAAAGGTATGGTGGCTATTTGTTCAAAGTGTATGTTCCTTCCTCCTAATGGCCTCCCTGGGGGAAGCTGTTTCTATGTTTTAGGTCGGGGAGATGAGGCTCTGTGCAGGGTTTGGGCTCTGGCTTGTCCACCCCAGTGGAATAGCTGCTACTACGGGACTTTTGCTTTGGGGTTAGGTACCCTTGTGGGCACTCTGAGGCCAGGGCATTGGAAAGAATGGGAGGATTGCTTGAGCCCAGAAGTTCAAGAGTTTGAGGCTGTATGTATGATCACGCCACTGCATTCCATGCTGGGCAACACCATAACACAAACTCTCTTTCTCTATTTTTAGACGTAGTGTTGCTCTGTTGCCCAGGCTGGAGTGCATAGCGCAAGCTTGGCTTACTACCACCTCTACCTCCTGGGTTCAAGCAATTCTCTCTCCCCCAGCCTCTTGAGTAGCTGGGATTACAGGTGGCCACCACCATACCTGGCTGAGTTTTTGTATTTTTAGTAGGGACAGGTTTCATCATGTTGGTCAGGCTGGTCTTGAACTCCTGACCTCAGGTAGTCCACCCACCTTGGCCTCCCAGAGTGGTGGGATTATAGGCATGAGCCACCATGCTTGGCCATGAGACCCTGTCTTTAAAAAGTAGAGAATGGGAAGGTCCGTCTTCATGTTCTGAGACTACAGAGAGAGTATACAGGGCTCGTTCAACACCTCACCTGGGAGGCAGATACCATGTGCCCATTTACATGTGAACAAACAGGCACTCAGGGTTGGCCTCTTGGACTCAGTCTCTGTCCAAAGCCTGTGCCCTTTGCACAAACGTGCGAATCAGACTGGGCAGGCCTTGGTTGAGGGTATGTGTGCTATGGGTAAATGAACCTAGGGCTCTCTGGAAGCCTAGGCTTCCCTCAACAGCAGAGAGGCTTGGATGGTTTCCAGGCTGGTGACGCCCAGGGCTCAAGCAGGAAGGTCAGAAGAGTGCAGTGGCATCTCTGCTCTGGGCTGGCACAGTCTTGCCCACACCTACATCTGAGTGGGTGCCTGGGTGTCTGGACTGTGCTAGGGTTTGCAATGAGATGGATGAGGCACAGTCTTTTAGGAAGGAGCAGAGATGGTCAACTAAGGCAGACTGCTCGATAGTCATATGGAGAGTTCAGGCTATTGGAGGGCTGTAAGGGGTCCTGAGAAAGTGAGGTTTGTGCCGAGATGGAAAGGGTGGGAGGGAACAGCAGTCCTAGCAGGGGGAACAGTGTGTATAAATTCTCTGGGGTGGGAGGGATCCCTGCACATTTGAGGGTGAAAAGACCAGAGTGTTGTCACCAAAATACACAACGGGGGCTGAAAAATTGATTTATTTTTGAAAATATAATAGTCATGTCTTAAAAAGTCAAAAGATACAGAAGACAGAGGTGTTTTTTTGTTTTCTTTTGTTTTTGAGATGGAATCTTGCTCTGTCACCCAGGCTGCAGTGCAATGGTGCAATCTCAGCTCACTGCAACCTCCGTCTCCTGGGTTCAAGTGATTCTCCGGCCTCAGCCTCCCGAGTAGCTGGGATTACAGGCACGTACCACCACGCCCAGCTAATTTTTTCCTATTTTTAGTTGAGAGGGTGTTAGCCAGGATGGTCTCCATCTCCTGACCTCATGATCTGCCCATCTCGGCCTCCCAAAGTGCTGGGATTACAGGGGTGAGCCACTGTACCCGGCCTTGACAGAGTGTTTTTGAAAGCAAAGGTATTCTGATGATACAGCTGGTGATAGTGGATGGGACGACAGTGGTGTGCCCAGAAACCTCTGGACCTAGAGCGCAAAAGCCTTGGTACGTTTGCAGCCCAGCTGATTCTCTGCATCTGCCGAGGATGAATGACTCAGCTTTTGGGGAATTTCGAGACTTTGGACTTTAGGGGCAGGGGCCCCAAGAGGCAATGGTGATAAAGTCGAATTTGAGCAGAGAAGCTTCCCCTGTCAACTGTCACCTTTTTCCCCAGGAACATCATTATGTAAGACGCCTGCCTGTGGAACAGGCTGTGAGTGGCTGCTCTTCCATTCCTCACAGCCATTTTTTACGAGGGTAAAGATGGAAAGGAGTGGTTCATCATGGCAGTGTGCCAGGCATGATGCTGGGTAAATGCACATTATTTAGTTTACCTTGAAATGCTTTTGGAACTCAACGCATCCAGCACCTGTGTAGTCCTCCAGCCTACCTATAAACCTGCTTGGAAGCTGTAGGATTGGCGCAGAATGCACCAAGGGTATCTGGTACCAGTGAGCTAGAGAACAAGGCACATCAAGGGGGTCTTCAGACGAATACACCAAGAGCTGCCTCTACCACGTAGCATCCTGCTGTGGCTCACCTCAATGTCCCAGGTTCTCTGTGGGCACAGTGACCAGGTCAGACCACAGTGGCCACTTTCTGACTGGTCTCATTTGGGGAAGGCATGTCGCTTTTCTTGGCCCTCTCTAGGTGCTCACCTGTAGTGGGGGTAAAAGGCCCCCTCCAAGGGTTCCTGTAGGGGCTGGCTCAGGCACCCTACATACCTGTCACAGCCCAGCTCTGTGCTAGCACCTCCCAATACCTGTTGAATCCGCCATTGCCTTTGGGACGTGTCTCCGTATTTCCATGCGAACACATCTAGGGTACAGGCTGGGGTTCTGCATTTGGGTACTCACCTCTATCCCAGGTGAGGCCAAAGGTGCTGGTCTCCAGTTCACAGTTTGAGAGGCAAGGTTTTAATATCCGTCACACACATTTATTTTGCAGATTGGCAAGAGCTCAGATTGACTAGCCAACCCAGTGTCACCTGACCAAGTGGTCGAGGGGAGGTGCTCTGTCTTTCAGACTCTAGTCTGGAATTGGAGGTGGGATACCTAAATTCAGGTCTTGGATATGAAACTCCCCTGTCACATCCCTTCTCTGAGCCCAACACTTCATCCAAAAGTCATGGTGACCTGGGAGGCCAGGTAAAGTAGATGTTTAGCTAGATTGGAATTTCAAATAAACTGAAGAATTTTACAGCATAACTGTGTCCTGTCCGATATTTGGGACATAACGCTAAAACGAATATTCACTGTTTCTCTGAAATTCCAATATAGCTGGGCATCCTGTTTTTTTGTTTTTTTTTTTTGAGACAGAGTCTCACTGTTGCGCAGGCTAGAGTGCATTGGTGTGATCTTGGCTCACTGCAACCTCTGCCTCCCAGGTTCAAGCGGTGCTCCTGCCTCAGTACCCTAAGTAGCTGAGACTACAGGCTTGTGCTGTCACACCCAGCTAATTTTTGTATTTTTAGTAAAGATGGGGTTTCACCATATTGGCCAGGCTGATCTCAAACTCCTGACCTTGTGATCCACCTGCCTCGGCCTCCCAAAGTGCTGGGATTACAGACATGAGCCACTGCACCCAGCCAGCATCCTGCTTTTTATTTGCTAAATCTGCAACCCTAGGGTGTGAAACCTCTCTGACCCATGCACAGCCTCCTCCAGGAAGTCTTCCTGAGCCCCATCCTGGGCTGGGCATCCTCCTATGTGTGTCTGATACTGCTCTGACCTCATGAAGCTTCATTGCTGGGGGCCCTGTCCCCATCTTGGTGTAGGAGCTCTTTGGAGGCAAGGACCATGCCAAGTTTTGCATGTGTGTGTTCCTTCTGAGAGTATCCCTAATGCCCTGAAGGCAATTCTCTTTTCACAACCTTTGTACTGCCTGAGGCTTTTGAGGACTAATTCCAGTTAAAAGTGGAGGGAAAGGATATGGTAGGAATCATGGAGCTGGACTCTGCACCCACCCATGCAGCAGGCAGGACCCCTCCCTCTGTGTCACCTCCATGACTCAGGAAGCCCTCATCCTCATCCTCATCCTCCTAGAGGCTCCAGTTGTGCCCCACCTAAGCCCAGGGATGCTCCACAGGTCTCATGTTTGTCAAGGCCAGGGGTATCAGGTGTAGGCAGGGGCCCATGCCTGCTCCCGTCTGGGAGACCCTGCTTCAGGTCCCTCTCATGGCCCCTTTTGTTTCCCATGGCTCACTGTATGACTTGTTGGCTCAACTTGTTGGTTCTGTGTCAAGGGGGGCCATCACAAAAGACAAGGGGCCTAGAATGAGGGGTACCCATCAGCTTGCAGGGCTGGGATGAATGTGAGAAGAAATTGATGCTTGTACAGTAGAGACTAAGCATGTAGGGCCAGACCCCAGACCTTGTCTCCCCTCAGCCTTGAGGTGTGCTCTCCATTTTTGGTGGCTAACCCTACGTAGCGGTCTGGCTTCACCATCTTTGCCTTGCCTAGGCTAAGACCCTCTTCGGTCAGCACCTGCAACTGGGATGCTGGGAGCAACAGTCAGGGCAGAACTGCCCATCCTCCCTCCAGGGAGCCCTCAGGAAGTACTTGGGACCTCCCAGCCATTTACAAGTTCAGCCTGCCTCATGCTCTCCGTGGACCTGCAAGCCCTTTTCCTCAGCAGTGGGCTGGGGGACCAGGCTCCCCAACTGCTTATGCCTGTTCTAGTGGTGGGGAGATGGACGGTCGCACAGCCCTGAGTCTATGGGTTTGACAGCGATGGGTCCTGACTGCAACTGTATTCCTGAAGCGAAGTATCTAATACAGTCACTGAAATGTACAAATCGGACCCCTATAGGTGCAAGGATCCTTGGTGTAGGAGGTATGGCCCCTGCCCCAGGAACTAAGACCTCAGCCTCCAGAAGCAAAATGCATGAATGCAGTGATAGTTAGGCCAAGTGCCAAGGGAGACAGCCAGCCCCTGCTATCATGGCCAGAGCAGGGAGAGACCACTCAGGCTTGGGTGGTGGTGGGAATCCCCACTGCCAAGGAGATTCTATGCGCAGACCTTGGGAAGGCCCAGAGGAGCTTGAGAGCCCAGCTTGGCTTGGTTATAGCAGAGCTGAGTGGTGGGAGTGGATTAGTTGGCTTAGCACAGGCTTCCTGCAGGGTGGTGCTTCTCAGCCAGATTTGCCCCAGTGGGACTTTTAGGAAAGTACGGAAACATTTTACGTGGTTTTTTTTTTTTTTTTGAGATGGAATCTTACTCCATTGCCCAGGCTGGAGTGCGGTGATGCTGTCTCGGCTCACTGCACGCTTCGCCTCCTGAGTTCAAGAGATTCCCCTGCCTCCGCCTCCTGAGTAGTTGGGACTACAGGCATGTGCCACCATATCCAGCTAATGTTTGCATTTATAGTAGATAAGGGGTTTCACCATGTTGGCCAGGCTGGTCATGAACTCCTGACCTTAAGTGATTTGCCCTCCTCAGTCTCCCAAAGTGCTGGGATTACACGTGTGAGCCACCGTGCCTGGCCAAGACACACTTTAGGTTATCATATCTGGGGAGTGGATGCTACTGGCATTAGGGTTGCTGTCAAAGTCCTACAATGCACAGGGCAGCCCCCACAAGAAATTCTGAGGTTGAAAATGTCTATAGTGCTGAGGCTGAGAACTCTGCAGTAGAGCAACAGTAGGAGGGGGGGTGCTCATAGTCAGGTGGTGGGCAGCAGGGAATTACAGGCACACCAGCCAGGAGTGTATGCAGCTGCAAGTAAGAGACCACCAGGTGGCAGGAGTGGGAACAGAATGGCTTCTTTCTCATGTGTCAAGTGGTACTAGAGTCAGGCATGGTGGCCCTCACTTATAGTCCCAGCGAATCATTTGAGGCCAGGAGTTTAAGACCAGCCTGGGCAACACAGTGAAATGCTGTCTCTAAAATTAAAATTAAAACAAAAATTATCCAGGGTCTGGGCACAGTGGCTCACGCTGTAATCCCAGCAGTTTGGGAGGCCAAGGCAGGTGGATCACCTGAGGTCAGGAGTTCCAGACCTTCCTGGCCAACATAGTGAAACCCTGTCTCTACTAAAAATACAAAATTAACCAGGCATGGTGACACACCCCTGTAATCCAAGTTACTCAGGAGGCTGAGGCAGGAAAATCGCTTAGAACTGGGGAGGTGGTGGTTGCAGTGAGCTGAGATCATGCCATTACACTCCAGCCTGGGCAATAGAGAACGAGCCTCTGTCAGATTAGATGGATGGATGGATAGATAGATAGATAGATAGATGATAGCCAGGCATGGTGGTGAGCACTTGTAGTCCCAGATACTCAAAAAGAAGAAAAGAAAGAGAAAAAGGAAGGAAGGAGGGAGGGAGGAATACATCTGATTTTTGTGTATTGATTTTGTATCCTTCGGTTTTGCCAAATTATTGGTTCTAATTTTTTTTATTAAAAAATGTTTTTGAGACAGGGTCTCACTCTGTTTTCTAGGCTGGAGCGCAGTGGCACAGTTATGGCTCACTTGTAGCCTCCATTGCCCGGGCTCTAGCAATCCTGCCTCAGCCTCCTGAGTAGCTGGGACTGTGGGTACATGCCAGCATGCCCAGCTAATTATTTTATTTTTTTGTAGAGGTAGGGTCTCTTTTTTTTCTTCTTATTTTTTAAAATTTTTGTTTTTTGGTTTTTTTTAGAGATGGGGTCTCGCTATGTTGCCCAGGCTGGAGTGCAGTGGCTATTCACAGGCACGATCCTACTACTGATCAGCACAGGAGTTTCGACCTGCTCCATTTCTGACCTGGGCCGGTTCACCCCTCCTTAGGCAACCTAGTGGTCCCCCGCTCCCGGGAGGTCACCATATTGATGCCGAACTTAGTGTTTTAGATTTTCTGCTTCATGAATCACTTTTGGTAGTTGAATTTGAGCAATTTGTCCATTTCTTCTAGATTTTCCAGTTTGTTGTCATACAGTTATTAATAGTATTATCTTATATTTTTTATTTCTGTAAAATTGTGAAGTTCCCACTTTCATTTGTGATTTTGGTAATATGAGTCTTCTCTCTTTTTTTCTTCGTCACTTTACCTAAAGATTTGTCAATTTTATTAATTTTTTCTTTTAAAATTTATTTTTCTGTATTATTTGCATTATTTTAGATTACTCCTTCAGAAGACTTTTTTAAGAAGCCAAATTTTTGTTGCATAGCTATTCTCTATAGTTTTCTATTCTCTATTTCATTTATCTCAGTTTTAGTCTTTATTATTATTTATTTATTTATTTTTATTTTATTTTATTTTTAAGTAGAGACGGGG